AACTCTAAAAAGAACTGGGAAAAGTACCAAGGGAATGAGAAGTCAATAATGATGGCTGCCAGAGTCAGAGAAATGTTAATGTGATCAAAATTTAACCCCCTGGCTAGTGATACTCACAAATTACATGTGAAATACCAAAAAGCATGCTTTCAGGAACTAAAAGAAATAATGTGGTAACTACACAAAAGATGAGAAACAATTTCAAGTATAACATTGAACCTTTCAGAAGCTGAATAGACCCAATTGCCTCTGTAGTAAATTTACTTTCTTTTTTCAATTCATTGCTCTTTGGTCAAGTCTCAGAATCTTTTCTTGACTAAAATGGCTTATATCTGAGGTATGTAGCTGGAGCTAAAGACATTTTACTTTATTTCTCTGTGAAGAACATACATACACATAACACACACACACACACACACACACACACACACACACACTACACTACACATACCTGGTACACACACATGTATGTCTTTTTATCCAAGGACAATTTTAAATTTGTTTTAGGAAGACATTATTTTAGCACACGTGTTGTGAAGAGACCCAGATATAGTACTGAGGTCTTGACTTATAGGAAGAAAAAATGTCTATAGGAATGCATCAGATATGAGAGTCGGCAAGAGTGGTAACAACGAGTATCTAGAAAGTCAGACTCAACCTGTTTCCTTAGAGTTGTATGGTCCAGGGAAAATCAGGTGATGAACAGATTTATAACTTTTGAAATAACTTTGCCTCAAATTTTCCTCCAATTAGAGAAAGATTGCTAGTGGTAGTCCTTGGCCTTGTATTGTTTTATCAGTGACTTGGATGGCAATATGGAAAGCATGCTTGCTATACTTACCAATGTCACAGAGCTGGGAAAGGTTGTTTGATGACAGACTCAATGTCCAGAAAGTTATAGGTAGACTGTGAAATGTGATAATGAAACTTATAAATAAAATTTACTAAAATTAAATATTCAACCAGTAAACATTAAAGTCAGTTAAGATGAAATCAACTGCATTCCTAATGTATGCCCAGCGTAACAACTTTTCATCGAAGAAGCATGAATTAATAGATGAGGAGGCTGATAAAAAAGTAGTACAATATCAAACTGTAATAACTCAAGCCTTTTGTCCAAATTGAAGCAGGAAAGGTTACTAACTACACTGCGTGGTTGTATTCTGGTCATACCTGAAATATTGTTGAATAAGTAGGCCCAAAGGTGGTGGAAGAAAAGGATGGAGAGAGATCTGAAAGCCATGTGAGTAGATGTAGACTCAACCTGTTAGAGACTTTTCCCACGAAAAGAGAGACTTTTTCCAGGAAAAGAAAATCTTGAGGGAGCATATGACAAGTCTGGTCAATTCATTGGGAGGGGAGTCATGTGGAAGGTGACTGTTGTTCTTTTGTCTGCCTCCAGAGGGCAAAAACAGGACCAGTGGGGTTAAGATGCAAGGTGGTGCCTTTCAGAAGACTGGGTTTCGAGTTGCTGAGAATAGGTTGTCTGTGCCAGATGCTTTTTTGCCTATTGCTGGTGGTGTTCAGGCTGGGGCTGGGTGTTTAGCATTCATGGACATGGGAGCAAAGGTTCTGCTTTGGGAGGAAGAGCAGGCTGAAAACCTTTAGTTCTATATCAACCCTATGATTTGATTAGCCCTGACAGTCATTCACCTCCTACCTGAATATTTTGATAAATGTGGGACAGTTATTCTTGCTTAAAATGACTTAAACACGTATGTATTGAGCTGCAATTTGCCGTTGTCTTGCTTTGAACAATAGGGAAAAAAAGGTGAAACTATAGCAGTGAGTGGTTGAATTGTTTTGGAGAAATGTGTTTAACTGAAGTTGCAGTCTTGCTTTTAGATCATATTATTGACTGAGATGGCTGTCCTTTACTCTAGTTTGTACTCCAGTAAAGCCTGAGCACTCTTCAAAACAGGATTAATTGGATTTTTGTCAATGTTCATTTTGAAGGCCGTATCAGATCTGGCTCAGGACTTTGGAACAAAAAGTAGATGCAAAGAGTTAATGCCCTCTATCTAAGGTTAAGATTGGGTTTCAAGATTAGAGACAAGACCCAGCCTGCCTTTGAGAATCTAGCAACTCCAGCAATCGGGAGAGGAAGGATACTGAGATTGAGAACCTCGCTGGGTCTTCTATATATTACATAGCACGAGTCACAGTGATCTTTGAGAAAGAGGTTTAAATTGAAAATGTTTAGACTTATATAAGTATTCAGAAGTTTAATGGTTTGAGACCTTTTCAATGCTACTTTAGAAATTTATGATTTCCACTGTGTTAAATTTGCATTTTGTTCTTTAATGCAAGTTATTTGAGATCTAGAAGTATGACTTCAAATCTTTTTTAAATATATATATATACAATTCCGTTTACATTGGATAGGCCAGTGGTTGGCAAACTGTGGCCCCTTGAGTGTGGCTCTTCCACAAAATACCACGTGCAGGCGCGCACGTAGAGTGCGACTGAAACCTTGTGGCCACACTCAAGGGCCAAAGAGCTGCATGTGGCTTGCGAGCCACAGTTTGCCGACCACTGGTATAGGCAATGAAAGGGTTTGATGTCTGTATATTTTGTTATAGGCCTTAACTTTCAGGCATCTTCATTTGGGTATTAATTTGTGTATTTGAGCAAATCCTAAACTGTTTTTGAAACAAAGTATATGTTATGACTATGGATGAATAATTTGGGACTTAGGGTAGCAGATGACTTGAGGTGTCAAAACTAGATAATCCTATAAAATAAAGAGCTAATATGCAAATGGTTGTCACGCTCTCACACCATCATGCTGTAACAGCTCAGACACTCAACATTGCGGGGAGAGGAATGGGAAATAGCCAGGCTGTGGCCCAGGAGAGGGGCGAGCCGCCTACCCTGCAGTCCCAGATGCCAGCGGCTGCGGACCTGGCAAAGCTACCTGCCCACAGGCCCCTGCGACTGCAGCCGGCCTGGGCGCAGCTTGGGTCCTGGGTGCCTGCGGTCAGCCAGAGGGAGGGGATCCTTGGTCCTGTGTCTGGGGCAAGGTAGAGACGATTAGGGGCAATCAGGCCAGCAGGGGAGCAGTTAGGGACAATCAAGCAGGCAGGCAGGCAGAGGTGGTTAGAGGCGATCAGGCAGGAAAGCAGAGATGGTTAGGAACCAGCGGTCCTGGATTGCGAGAGGCAGTCGGACATACTCCGAAGGGTCCCAGATTGGAGAGAGTGCAGGCTGGGCTGACAGACCCCCCTCTCCCTTCTCCCCTCCCCCGTGTACGAATTTCATGCACTGGGCCTCTAGTAATATAATAATATTCATTGCCTTGGGTTGAAGCTCCTCTTCCCATTTCCAGAATAATCATTTTGGTCCAAGTCTTCTCTTTTCCCAAGGAGTTTCAGAGAGCATGACCATCTGACACACTTTGTGCTACATCTGGCTGCTAGAATAATCAACCTTGATACCTATTTCAATCCCTTGATGCTTCTCTAACACCTGCCCCTGTAACTCCCCTATTCCACTCTGTGTTTTCTCACTGTACTATCTATCCTATTACTGCCCTCCAGGAAATACATCATTCATTCATTCACTCAAGAAGAAACCAATATTTATTTATTGAGAATCAGGTGCTGGAGGTTTTTAATCCTCACAACAACCTTAGTAGAAAGGCAATTTTGGCATTTAATAAATAAGAACACCCAGGCTCAGAAAATTTCAACACTTGCTCAACATCACTGGCTTTTGTCTGATTATAATATCCACTAGAGGCCCAGTGCACAAAAATTTGTGCACTCGGGGGGGAGGGGAGGTCCTTCAGCCCGGTCTGTGCCCTCTTGCAGTCTGGGACCCCTCGGGAGATAACGACCTGCTGGCTTAGGCCTGCTCCCGGGTGGCAGAGGGCAGGCCCAATCCCTAGGTGCAGCCCCTGGTCGGGCTCAGAGCAAGGCCGATTGGGGAGTTGGGGCGCCGCCCCGTCATGCACAGAGCACAGAGATTGGGAGGTTGTGATCCCACCCTCAGTCACAATCAGGGTAGGGCCGATTGGGGGGTTGGGGCACCGTCCCTTGTCACACTCAAGGCAGGGTCGATGGGGAGGTTGCGGCGCCACCCCATCACGCACAGAGCAGGACCCATCAGGGGGATTGGGGCTCCGTACCCTGTCATGCATA